TATATATATATATATATACACATATATGTGTGTGTGTGTGTGTGTGAAGGCATTTTAAACCCTTCCCACACTCTTGCAATGTTCTAAACAATGTTTCTAAACTCTAAATGCTCTAAAAGAGCAAAGAATGTCATGATTTCAGCTCTCTGCTGCACTTTGCCATATGCAAGCACTTTCGGCCACGCCCACTTCTCCGGTGCATAACGGAGATATGACACAGTGCAGAAGGAAGCTTCTACTGCAGCTGTGGGCTGCACAGAGGTGAAGCAGGTGCTAATTTATTTATTTTTTTTAATAAAAATTGCATGCTGATAGTGCGGCTCGTCCATCAATCAGCCAATTGTGTGTCATGTCCAATCTTATTTTGAAAAACCGTGATAGAGTGAGAAGACTGTGATAAACGAAGCATGAAGTTGCGAGGGACTACTTTACCTGCTCTTGGCTGCGCTGGGCAGTCTGCAGAGGTGCAGCTGCAGACAGGATACTCTGTGCTGTCTGTCTGTTCTGCTGTCCAGAAGGTGCTGACACTACTGGAGCAGAACCTGTCTGTCAAAAACACAAAGAAATCACATTCAATCGTCGTTGTCTTTGATGCACTGACTAAAACAAATCAAGCTCAAGATGTAGTGTTTCAAAGCAAAAGCGGTGAATGGGGCGTTTTAGAGATTTATGTCGTTAAGACGGGGAATGAAAATTCTAGCATTAGTCAGCTGCTACCCATCTATTGTGTTCGCCATAAGATGCTGTTTAAAATGCGTACAATAAATAAGAAACTGAGCAATTACTGCAAACTAAGCAGGAGCAGAAACTGGGTCTTAAAAGGAGTTAGGCAGCTGGCAAAACCCTAAATGATACTGCAGACTGCTGTTATACAGGAATAATCTAGATAAAGTCTCCTTCTCTAACCTACCAGTGGATCTGCTGTGTCTTTGTTGTAAAGTTGTGACGACAGCAGGATCCTGTCAAGATTAGGGGTGTGGCATACTGAAGCATCCAAGCTCCGACTCTTGTCTGTATGCTCACTCATGGAGACACTGGTACATTCTGTCTCCCTGTGGCTGTGCGCAGGTTTATTAACATCTCTTCTATCAGAGAGGGTGGGAGAGCTGGTCCTGCGACCAACGATGTGGTGCAGACAATAGTTGAGAAGGCTTAGATCTCCACTTTCACACAAACCGTGTGGGAACACAAACCGAGAGGGTGAGGAATGACGTAAAGGTGAGGTGGCCGCGGTTGGCTGACTGTTTGGTGATGAAGCCGGACATGTGGTCATAACATGAGGTGGAGTGACTGCAGATGAGCTTAACAAACAAAGAGATGTAGGTGAACGAGAAGTGGATGTGACAAAAGTGTGTCTGTGTGTGTGGCCCAATGATCCGTCCCCTGTAGTTCTGTCCTTGAAGAGAAGAGGCGTGCAAGCTTTGCAGTGGTGATGTTGTGGGCTCTGTGGGACGCTCAGACAGACTTCTGGGGGAGGTTGTAAATTCAAAGCAGTGTGAGGTGAATCAAAACGACTTGCTGAGTCATGAGGAGAAAGCTGATGTGAAGGTAAAAGAGGAGATAGCACTGAGGCGCTCCGGGCACGGTTTGAGTAATCTGCAGCATGCACTGAACTCTCTGAACTATCAGTAGATAAATGTATCGGACACAAACAGGAAGTAAGATGTGTTGTTTTAGTGGCAGAGCGAGTCCTACACATCTCAATCAAGGAGGCACTGCCTCGCCTAAAATATGCTGTGCTGTCATTGCTGAGCAGGTTCTCAGGGCAGACAAAGGGCTCACTGTTGTGACGCTGGTCAGGTATCATTAAAAAAAAAAAAAAGAAAAGAAGACATGAGTTATGGCGGAAAACAACAAAAAAGGCTTATTTTACCAGAGATTTATAGCTTCAGATATACGCTAACGTCTTTTACTCACTGGTTGACATTGGTGCAGTTGTGTTGCAGGTTTCTGAAAAGCCCCAAGCTGCAGCGCACCTGTGGGCTGCTGGTAACCTCCTGGGTGTAACTGTGTGGCTGGCTGTGTGTTGTTTTCTTGGGAGGCCTGTGCTGTGGGTAGATAGGAGCCTCCCTGATGTAGTTGAGGCTCAGCCTGTAGAGGAGGACCGCAGACCATCTGAGCTGTGGGAATGGGTTCTGGGAGTGACTGGTATGTGCCATTTTGCTGATTGCTTAGATCATCTGATAGCATGGAAGAGTTTACTCCACTATCAGCTGTAACAACAGAGGAAATAAAACATGATATGTTTTGATGCCCTCTGCAGGATGGAAAGACAAATAAGTTTAGACCGACTGTGGAGCAGTCTCTAATTAACTGCTGGGTCATGGAGTTACATGGACAACTTAATGATCAATCAATATGTCTGCCTTTCTTTAGGTTATAAAATACAAGTTTGACCATTTCCAGACATAGGTTGTGTAACTTGCATGAGACCAGGCTGTGCAACATACAGTACTGTTAGACATAAATTACTTTTAGTCTCTTACATGTGGCAGATGTGATGACAGGGACAGTGCATGTCAGAGTTTCTTGGTCTTCATAGTCCAAAGGAGCTAATGTGGTTTCCTCGGGTGCGCCAGTACCGGGCACCTGCAAAAGGTTCTGCTTCATCTTCTTCCCAGCGGCTTCACTATTTGCGTTCGGTGAGCCGGTCCTCACTCTCCTCCATTTGATCAGAGCAACGCGATCTCTAATTGACTTTCCAACTATCTTCACATCACATTCCAGGAAAAATCCAGATTCCACCTGCAGGAGACGGGTAAGACATTTTCTGCAGCTCAAAATGAACTACCGGTACACTGTTGATGACACTCAACCGTTTGTGTGATAATTCAAGCTATTTATTTCCACAAACTGCACAGAGCTGCACTTGACTGCCTCTCCATAAGTTTGCATGGAAGATCAAAGATCATCTAATAGGTTTCTCTAGTTTTGATCAATGCATGGTGTATGTCAGGACTGTCATAAGAAGACAACAAACTACTGACCAACTCCCATTTACATCAATCAAATAAACAGCTGAGAGTGATAAGGTAAGAAGTTGACAAAAAAAAAAAAAAAAGATGAAACACAACATGAGAAAAGTTGTTTCAAAGTAAAGTTCAGTTTTCACTTTTATGACTAGACACTATTGGTTTACAGACAACAACTTTCATAATAGAATATCAGCAGGAGCAAACCTATTATTGTTATATTCAGAGAAGGCCCTAAGTGAACTTTAACTGTTATTTTTACAAAGTAAAAGAAAACAATTCATGGACTGCTTGTCTCCAATATAACAGTTAACACAAGATGTTTTAAGTAAGACGTATAAAGGCGTTCTTTAAGGTCTCCTGACTGTGCTGCTAGTTGGTTTATGCAGGAGGTTTAACCAGTATTGATCCACTACCTTCAGTTATAATGAATAAATAATAATAAATAAAGTGCTATGTGTTGTCACCATTGTATGTTCTCATACAATGGTGAAATTAGTTCTCTGCATTTAACCCATCACACCTGAGATACACCCAGGTGGAGCAGTGGGCAGATATGTGAGTGCCCGGGGAGAAATTAGGGATTAGGTGTCTTGCTCAGAGACACCATGACATGTGGGAATGGTTGGGGATTGAACCTGGGACTTTCAGGTCCCAAGTCAGCTGCCCTGCGTAACACCCCATAAACTTGAGAGTGTTGCTTTTTCTGAGTGCTCTATAAAAAAGATGGGTCTTGTCTACTTTGACTACTTTGTCTTCAGAAACAGACACATTGTTGTTGTTGGCTGTGCATCTTACATCTTTTTCTGTATGTTGGAATTCCCTTTTATTAACTTGATCTGAACCAAATTATCAAATCAAATTAATCAAATTATTACTGCTTTATCAAAAATAACAAAGACGTTGTTGCAATGGCTAAATGTAGACTGAATTTCCTTTTAAAAAAACATTATTAAGATTAAAACAAAAAAGGTTAAATAATGTCATCTGGACCAGCTTCTTAAAATGAGAAATGTTTCGTGCCCCATCCAGAGGACTTCCTCAATCTACGACCTGTCAACCAGATCTGTCCCATAAGTAGCCTTCACTGCTGTGCTTCCTGTTGGAATCTCAGAAGTAGGCTTTCAACATGTGCAAAACACACCCATCCAAAACAATCAATCATCATCCTGAGGAAGTCCTCTGGATGGAGGACGGAACATTTCTCACTTAAAGAAACTGGTCCAGATGACACGATTTAACCTGTTTTGTTATTACCTATGCTTGAGCTTACAACCCTTTTTATTATTAAGGTCATTTTCCATTATTTTAGGTGTTTATTTAATTTACCAAATATTAGGCAAGAGTATTTTAAATGGCTAAGGCAACTAAGTAGCTTGTGTGATACATAATTTATTCTGGCCAGAACAGGAATGTGTAGAAATAATAAAAAAATTGTTGAAACAACTAAAATAAGGACAATCATCATTGTTAAAAAGCTTTTTTTTGTTTTGTTTTGTTTAACCCAGTGGTAAAAAATACAGAAGATAAACTGTTGAACAGTTATCAGTAATAAAAAACTTAAAATACAAAGACAGATATTGATTTTTCAAGTATTTTTGCAATTTAAAATGTATTTCTCAAAAATATTCAATTATTCATTTACCATTTCTTGAGCGACTACTTCTGGGACTTCATTCTCAAGGTCGAAGGTAAACTCAATGGCTCCTGTGTCCTTGTATTTCCCCTTCAGCTTCTTAGGATCTTCGACCCACAGCTTTAGAGCAATGGAGGATTTTTTCCCATCGTCCTCCTCGTTAAGCTCGACCCTCACACCTGTGTCCTCTGCAAAGTACGCATGATTCAGGAGGTCCTTGATGGAATACCTGCAGAAAATACACAAAAGCCAGTGACTGCTCTGCATTACAGGTCTTTGCAGTAATGACGCAGAGAGAGCTCAGAGCCAGATAGGGGCATTAACATCACACTGCAGAAGAAAAAACTAAACACAACATGAAGGGTACCTGCATACACTGCTATTCAGAGTAACGAAAAGTTCTTAATTGATTTGCTTACCGTTCCTCCCACCTGTGACAGATACACTCGCCAATGATCTCCTTAATTTCTGGGTCGCTGACTTTGCCGTAGCTGGCAGGTTTCACCCCCTGAAAAGGAAACGACATCTCAACTTAACCGACAAATTTAAAACTGCAGCAATTACTGTAGAGCCTGACTGGGAGTAATATGAACCTGTGGTGCCAGAAAGCATTTATTACTCTGCAAAGTATTCAATAAACTGTGGAACAGTTATTAATAATAAACAACCTAAAATGTGTACTGTACAAAGACAAATGTTGGATTTTTCAAGTATTTTTGCCTAAGTAAAAAGTATTTATTTCTCAAAAACATTCCATTATTCATTTACTATTTCTTCAGTGACTACTTCTGGGACTTCATTCTCAAGGTCAAAGGTAAACTCAATGGTTCAATGACTCCTGTGTCCTTGTATTTCCAGCTACAAGTACTTGGGTGTACACATGAATAACAACCTCAGCTGGGGCAACAACACTACCAGCCTGATCAACAAAGCTCATCAGAGACTACTTCCTTAGGTGGCTGAGACGAGCTGGTCTGGGAAGCTCAGTCCTCACCTCCTTCTACAGGTGTGCAGTGGAGAGAATCCTGTGCTCCAACATCAACATGTGGCATGGAGGCTGCACAGCTGCAGAAAGAAATGCTTTGCAGAGAGTGGTGAAGGCTGCACAGAAGTCCGTTGGAGTCAGTCTCCCCACCATCACAGACATATACACCTCCAGATGCAGGACGAGGGCCACCTGCATCATGAAGGACCCCACTCACCCAGCACACACACTTTTTGCCCCGCTCCCCTAAGGCAGGAGGTTGAGGAGCATTAAGTGTAAAGCCACTAGACTGAGGAACAACTGAAGCTGTTAGACTCATTCCAACATGTTGCTGCTGATCTGTTTCATGTTGCTGCTGATCTGTTTCATGTTGACGTGTTCATTCGTGCTCATCTGCTCACACAGACTCATGCTCATGTTCGTGCTGCTGTTCGATGTGACGTTTTTATGCTATTAGTTCTTAGTGTATTTTTAGTTGATATTTTTCTTAGTTCATATCTTAGATGTTATTATTGTTTTTATTTTACATTTTATTTTTGGATGTAACTGGGACCCTGTGTACATAATTTCATTTGCACCACATGTGGTGCGAACGACAATAAAGAAACTCTGTCTCTGAAATCTCTAACCAGAAAAATCACTGCAATTCCACTTTAATTGGAGATTTGACACTTTATCTGTGCTGCTGATTACCCATGCTGCTGATTTCTTGCGTTTAAGCTGATATATTCATACCCATCTGCTCCCAACAGACTCCTGTTCAGGCTGCTGTTTAATACACCATATTATATAACATTATTATTGTTTAGCATACTTTGTATATCTTAGATCCTTGTATGCTGTTTCTATTTTTACACTTTATATTTTTGCTATTTTTGGATCTAACTGGGGTCTTGAGTACACAATTTCATTCCCCATCATGTACCACATGTGATGCGAATGACAATAAAGAACCTTGAACCTTGAAAATGACATCCTCTCTCCGTTATCTACACTCATGGGAATAAGCAGTAATTTAAATACTGCAACTGTAACTGTCAGTTTGTCACTGAGTCATCTAAATAACAATTCAAACCAGTGAAAGTTAACAAATTAGTTCTTTATCATTAGCTATCACTCATATCTCTCTTCACAATGAAGCTGTCATTTTAAAGTCACATCATTCTGATTGATCACATGTCGTCTTTAACAGTAGACGTAAAACACTCACACTGGTGACTTTGCGGTAGATCTGAGCAGCGTTCTGACACTCAGAGTAGGGGTATTCTGAGGTGGCCATCTCTAACATGCACATCCCAAAGGCGTACACATCCACAGCCTCGTCGTAGTGCTCTTCATACATCTCCGGGGCCATAAACTCTGGAGTGCCTGCAAGATTTATGAAAGAAAAGCTAAAAACTACACTCAAATATTGGAGCTTACAGGTCTTTAAGTCGTGATTCTGTGAATGATGTAATCGCATTCATCATCTGTTAACTTTAATTAGCAATGACATAAACATTTGTTTATGCTTAATTGAAGCTGAAATTAGATGTAACTAAAATGACCAAGAGTATCTTGAGTCTGATTGTTTATCAAAAGGGTTGATCCTTATCCCAGAGTCTACAGTACGTTGTATTCCAGTTTAGCTTTTTGAGTTTTTAAAGTAAATTTTGTAATTTTTTTTTGTTTGTTTTGTAACTTACAACTTACAGAAAGGAAAGCTTTGCAGAGAGTGGTGAAGGCTGCACAGAAATCTGTTGGAATCAGTCTCCCCACCATCACAGACATCTACACCTCCAGATGCAGGAAGAGGGCCACCTGCATCATGAAGGACCCCACCCACCCAGCACACACACTTTTTGCCCCACTCCCCTCAGGAAGGAGGTTAAGGAGCATTAAGTGTAGAACCACTAGACTGAGGAACAGCTTCTACCCTGAGGCTGTTAGACTCATGAATCTCTAACTAGAATAATCACTGTGAAAAACCATATCATGTTGCTGCTGATCTGTTTCATGTTGCTGCTGATCTGTTTCAATGTTGATGTGTTCATGCGTGCACATCTGCTCACAGACTCATGTTCATGTTTGTGCTGATGTTCAATGTTTTATGTTATGAGTGCTTAGTGTATATTTAGTTGATGTTTTTCTTAGTTCATATCTTAGATGTTATTACTGTTTTTCTTATACATTTTATTGTTGGATGTAACTGGGACCCTGTGTACATAATTTCGCTCCACCACATGTACCACATGAGGTGCGAATGACAATAAAGAAACTCTGACTCTGACTCTGACTCTGACTTACAGCAAAACAAAACTAACAGATACAAATATGCCCAGTGAACGTGGAATATATTGTATAATATACGTATGTGCAAAATTATAGCTAAAGCTCGAATGAATGCTTGGGTTTGATTAGTTTAATTATTAAAACAACTCCACGTGAGCGGTAATGATGCTCTTTACCTGCTGGATGTACAAACAGGTGATAAATAATATAAATAAATAAATAAATAAATAATAATTAAAAAAAACATGATGTTTATTAATTATTAGGCATTGTCAGAACTACTTAAATACAGTTTCAGTGCATTTAATGTTCAAGTCCAGGGAACTCTGTGTCAAGGATCTAACAATTGCACAAAAACATTTCCCCATTTATTTTTGCATCTTGATGATGATGATGATGCCAAAGTCACCAGATCCCCCTCAAGGGTCTTGGTTTTTCTTTCAGTTCATCACCAGTTCATACAGTTTGCTTGCAGTCTTGCATTCATCACTTTTTTGCATCAGCAGGATTAAATTAGAAATATTCAGACTTTTCTGTTTGTCATAATTCAATAAAACTGTGTCGTGCCATTTTGTTGATGATTTACCTATAACACTTTTGGCAAAAGAGGCTCTTTTCAGTGTTGCCAAGCCCAGGTCTCCAATTTTGACGGAGCCTGTAGGACCAGTGATGAAGATGTTGTCACATTTCAGATCTCTGTGAATGATCGGAGGGGCCCTCGTGTGGAGGAAGTGCAGGCCCTTCAGAATCTGTCTGCACCACCTCCTGAGAACCTTGGGCTTCATGACTTTAAAACGCTTTAGATATCTGCAAGAAGAACACATGATGAAAAACTTTATACTTCATTTGGTGTTGGGATACTTTGTCTCCTTGAATTTCCTTTCACCACCGTCAGCATCCTCTGCTTTTGACAGGACAGATTACCGTATTTTTCACGATATAAGTCACAGTATTTTGCATAACTTACAGGTCCTTCTCAAAAAATTAGCATATTGTGATAAAGGTCATTATTTTCCATAACGTAATGATAAAAATGAAACTTTCATATATTTCAGATTCATTGCACACCAACTGAAATATTTCAGGTCTTTAATTGTTTTAATACTGATGATTATGGCATACAGCTCATGAAAACCCAAAATGCCTGTCTCAAAAAATTAGCATATCATGAAAAGTTTCTCTAAACCAGCTATTAACCTAACCATCTGAATCAACGACGTAACTCTAAACACCTGCAAAAGATTCCTGAGGCTTTTAAAAACTCCCAGCCTTGTTCATTACTCAAAACCGCAATCATGGGTAAGACTGCCGACCTGACTGCTGTCCAGAAGGCCATCATTGACACCCTCAAGCAAGAGGGTAAGACACAGAAAGAAATTTCTGAACCAATAGGCTGTTCCCAGAGTGCTGTATCAAGGCACCTCAGTGGGAAGTCTGTGGGAAGGGAAAAGTGTGGCAGAAAACGCTGCACAACGAGAAGAGGTGACCGGACCCTGAGGAGGATTGTGGAGAAGGGCCGATTCCAGACCTTGGGGGACCTGCAGAAGCAGTGGACTGAGTCTGGAGTAGAAACATCCAGAGCCACCGTGCACAGGCATGTGCAGGAAATGGGCTACAGGTGCCACATTCCCCAGGTCAAGCCACTCTTGAACAAGAGACTGGATCAGAAGCATCTCGTCTGGGACTGCTGCTGAGTGGTCCAAAGTTATGTGCTCTGATTACAGTAAATTTTGCATTTCCTTTGGAAATCAAAGTCCCAGAGTCTGGAGGAAGAGAGGAGACACAGAATTCACATTGCTTGAGGTCCAGTGTCAAGTTTCCACAGTCACTGGGGTGTCATGTCATCTGCTGGTGTTGGTCCACTGTGTTTTATCAAGCGCAGGGTCAATGCAGCTAGATATCAGGAGATTTGAGCACTTCATGCTTCCATCTGCTGAAAAGCTTTATGGAGATGAAGATTTTAGTTTTCAGCACGACCTGGCACCTGCTCACAGTGCCAAAACCACTGGTAAATGATTTACTGACCATGGTATTACTGTGCTCAATTGGCCTGCCAACTCTCCTGACCTGAACCCCATAGAGAACCTGTGGGATATTGTGAAGAGAAAGTTGAGAGACACAAGACCCAACACTCTGGATGAGCTTAAGGCCGCTATCGAAGCATCCTGGGCCTCCATAACACCTCAGCAGTGCCACAGGCTGATTGCCTCCATGCCACGCCGCATTGAAGCAGTCGTTCAGGCAAAAGGATTCCCGACCAAGTATTGAGTGCATAACTGAACATGATTATTTGAAGGTTGGCGTTTTTGTATTAAAAACACTTGTCTTTCATTGGTGGGATGAAATATGCTAATTTTTTGGGACAGGCATTTTGGGTTTTCATGAGCTGTATGCCATAATCATCAGTATTAAAACAATTAAAGACCTGAAATATTTCAGTTGGTGTGCAATGAATCTGAAATATATGAAAGTTTCATTTTTATCATTACATTATGGAAAATAATGACCTTTATCACAATATGCTAATTTTTTGAGAAGGACCTGTAGGCCAAAGTGACATATTTATGGATTTTTCCCATATTTATAAACAAATTTTTGGCTGAGATATGACCATTTTCATTCATTGACTGAAAAAAAATTTGAGCAGTACCACTTGCAGCCATTTGATGGAAGCAGAGTAGTAGTGGCTGTACAGCATGCCATTGTATCATGTAATAGGTAAACCTGGCTATAATGACAAATTCAAAAAAGTTCAAGACAAAAACAACTGGACTTTATTTATTATACATTATTGTTTTTTTTCTTCCAACTTTTTTGAATTTACCAGGTCCTGGATGACTGAGAATCTTCAACAGATATTAATGACACAATTGGCTTTCCACAGCCTCCCCACCTTCGTTCTGCTCTCTGCTTGGACTGACCATTGAACCAGCTGCACCGCCCCAGCGAAATGCAGCTAATTTGACCATTAAAGTGCATTTATTAAGCAAATGTTAGACTGAGACACAACTTTGCTATAATTTCAAGCAAACAAATAATTGTTTAGGTGCTTTTCTTGTTAAATTTCTCAGAAACGAGCCGCGTTCCTCCTCCTTTTTTACTCCCTCTGCGCGCTCCCGGGAGCACCAAGGCAGCTAAACTATTTTTGAAATGCAGCTGATTTGACCGCCAAAGTGCATTTATTAAGCAAACGTTAAACTGAGACACACATTTACTATACTGTAATTTTGAGAAAACAAATAATTGTTTTTAAGTTTTAATCTTGTTAAATTCTTGTTAAAGTCCTCCCGTACACGCTCCCACGGCCGCCATTTGGCAGCCCATCAATTTTTGGCACAACACCGGCCCACATTTCCGGGTTGTCAGCGGTGACGAATAATAGATGCGACGTATACGGCGAAGTGACACATTTATGGATTTTTCCACTTTATTGGACAAATATGGACTGATGCGACTTATAGGGTGGAAAATACGGTAGTTCTATGTCATATAGGCTTCGCCCTTTAAGGTTGTCGCTGATGGGTTTATCCCGTTATGCAGAGCATAAGCACTGAAAAAATTTAGTCCACGCCCACCTGCTGTGTGGGCCCCACCCGGTCCGTATAAATTACGTTAAGAGCGGGAAATCGGCTCCCATTTTTTCTTCAGCGAGCTAATATAGCACTGTCAGAAGAACAAAGAGGATAAATTGTGTAAATGACCGACCTTTGTGAAGGATGCTTGGCCCGGCAGTCGACCTCCGGTCGTCCGGTGAGTTCTTCTCCCCGAGGAGAAGATGACGAGCAGTCTTATTCCAAGGTAAGCGTCGGGGAACATTTCCCAGTGACAGGTCACTACACGCTGGACAACGCCATCTTGTATTTTTTCCTCTTATCGCCGACCCTCGGGGCGAACCGGATGGTTCCTCCGGAGCAAGGTGTGCTCAGCTGCAGCCCCCGCTGCTCATTCCCTCCTGGGGAGCGTAGTGTAGGTGGAGGGGGGCTGAGTGAATGCTCACCCCATCCCACCTCGTTTCGCATCGGCGATTACACCGCTCCCGGCCGACAGCGCCCTCACGGTTGCCCGGCGGAACCCAGGAGGAGGCTGACATGAAGGGACCCCTTTTTTCTACGTCCCACGCCTTTTCCCGCCAGTTCGGATGATCGGCGGGAAGGTTGTTTTCACTGGGCTCCACTGTGGCTCACCGTGTTGATCCATACGGCCTCGCGTTCCAACAGGACGTTCGACGGGCGAGGCCACAGACGGTTCTTTCCTGGTAGATTGGAGGAGTCGGTCCCCAGTCCGCCCCCATCACCAGAGTTGAGGGATTCACCGAGCGGGGCTATTCCTCGGTAATCCCCCCCTGGAGCCAAGCCTCGCGGAAGCTTTCGGAGCGAAGCTGCCCAGGTTGGAGCAGCGTCCCGTCCCTCCGGAGGAACACGAACCAGACGGTGACCACGCTCTCCAATCGAGCCCACCGGTGTGTTTTTTCAGGCAGCCACAGTTAGCAACAACATGCGCTGCTAGCATATAGCATGTCCAAGGGACTGAAGGCCGCAGACCTGCCTTGGAGACAAAGAACTCCCTCTGTAAGGCAGCTGACGCCAGCTCAACATGTGTGCCTCTCCTACGGTTTGCCTGTCGAGGACTGCAGCGTGGATGACGATGATCCAACGATCCACCTGGCTTCGTTACTCCCCTCGCTGCCGGAGAAACTGCACAAGACCTGATGAAGCCCATCGCGGACGCGCTGTTCAGAGCAGCTTCAAACCATGCTGGCGAATTGAAACAGTCGGAGGAGGTGCCAGAGGCTGTGCGCCACCTCATCAAGCCGCGCGGCCCATCCCGGCCCGCTGGCGGGACTGTCGCGAGCAAGCTTCGACTTTTCCACGGCCGCGGCTCTCGCTGAGTTCCACCACCAGCCCCGCCCGTCAGAATCCAGCCCTCTTCATTCCGGCAACCTGCAGCTCAGCGTTTCCCCAGAGTTCGCCTGCAAGACAGCGCTCTGGGCAAACAATCGCAGAGCTCATGAGAGAGAAGTTTCTCCAAATGACGGTCTCCAGAGGGTGTGTGTAAAAGTGACACGAAAGTTGAAATAAATCATCATTTAATGATCAAAGTGTCTGTTTTTTAGCCAGTCTGTAAGCTCGGATGAGCTCACAGCGGCCGCACACATAAAGAGCCGGTGTCCTTAATAAGGTTTTTTAAACGCACCGCCGCTCCAAGACATTACTAGTCGCTTACAGGGCACGATGGTAAGTGAAAATAACTCGTTATAATCCCGAGCTGCACGATTCTCACTCAAGCGGTGTCAACTCGCACTCGTGGGATGAAACAGCCTCCACACGAGCCGGTGTCCTTAAATAAGGTTTTTAAACTCACCGTCGCTCTAAGACATGATGAGTCGATCACAGAAACAGCTTCCACACATGAGCCGGTGTCCTTAATTAAAGGTTTTTAAACTCACCGTCGCTCTAGACATGACGAGTCGATCACGGCACAACGGTAAGCGAAAATAACTCGTTATCAACTAGAACTGCACGATCCTCACTCAAGCGGTGTCAACTCGCACTCGTGGGATGGAACAGCCTTCCACACATGAGCCGGTGTCCTTAAATAAGGCTTTTAAACTCACCGCCGCTCTAGACATGACGAGTCGTTCACAAGGATGAAACAGACTCCATCCAACGGCGCTGCGTTGATGCTGGCGCACACACACACAGCTGCCCGGCGCTAACCAGCTCACATCGGTATAAATGTGGTCCGCAGGCTGGTTCGGGTGGAGGTCCTTCTCTCTCACAAGAAGCGACACCCGTCTCAACGAATCAAACGCGGGCAGCCGTCACCCACCGCGTCTCAGCTCACCGCAGCTTAAACGTGAAGCAGCTGAAAGAACCCGGTAATGAGTCCCGCCTCCCTCCAGCGCGCGCCCCTCCAGCGAGAGCGGCGCGCGTCCCTCCAGAGAAAAACGTGTGCTCCCGCGGGGCTAGCAGCCTTCACTCCAACAGCGCGGCGTAAATGAAGTCACGCCTTCCGCTTTTCAACGTTCGCACAACGACGTCAAACGCGCAGCCCCACCGCATCATCAGCTGTCACACGCTTCGCCTTCAGCACAAGTCTCGCCCTGGATCACACAGAAAACATTCCCGCGACGCATGACGGCGGTTGAGGGGCGGACTGCTGACAGCCGTACAAAACGTGACACATCACTTAACGCACGTTCACCCTACGAACGTTACGTAGAGTGGCTAAACATGCTCACCGTTTTTCAGATGGATGGACAAGTTTTTATGCAAATGGCCACAAGTTACAGTTGCAACCCGAACCCCTCCATTCAGAGGAGTTATAAAAACGGTCCTGTCATCATCAGACTAAATCTCATCCCTAAATGCAGAAGTCCAAGTGTTTCTGATAAAAGTAATCTACAGAGTCCCCCAACGGAGAGAAAACACAGGGTTTTTACTCACGGATCGGAGGTATGAGACCGTGTTTTGGATCTGTTGTATAACATCCAGAGAACGCATACCGATCATCCTAACACAGAGACGAGAGTTTTTGTTTTTACCTGGATGATCTGCTGCTCCTGTCACTCCAGACAGGAGGCGCTGATGCAGGATCAGGTGTTGACATCACACCTGTTAGATCTGGGCTTCGCCATAAATTGGAAAGAAGCTCGATTTTCCCGGCCCAGACATTTGTTTTTCTGGGAGTGGAATTAAATTCAACCACCATGAAAGCTCGTTTATCACAAACTAGATTCGACACTTTTTTAAAGTCAACTCCGACACGTAAGACCTGGCAAGTGATAACAGCTGTCTCCGTCATGAAGCTGTTGGGAATGATGTCACTCACACAGTGGTTTCGCTGGTTTGTTACACATGAGACGCCTCCAGAGGTGGTTTTGCACGTCTGCATGTGGATCCAGTAAAACAAAACGATGGATGATCATTGTCCCTTCCTCTGTGAGAGCAGACCTCCGACTCTGGGGAAACACCCTGTTTCTGTCAGAGGGAGTCCCCCTCAGCAGACCCACGTCACACGGGTCAGTCTTCACGGACGCGTCGCTGTCAGGCTGGGGGGGGGACATGCCTATCTCAAGCAGTAGGGGCGCTGTGGCCCCACCACACATCAGCCCACATCAATGTTTTGGAGTGTCGCACAGTACTGAATATGATTCAACACTTTGCTCCCGTGCTACAGAATCAACACGTGTTGATTCACACAGACAACATGGTGACTGCTGCGTACATAACCATCAAAGGGTGTGCGTTCAGCCCAGATGTTACACATTGCACGAAAGCTACTGTGTTGGGCTCATCAAAACCTGCTCTCCATTAGAGCGGTTTACATATCCGATGTTCTGAACAGAGGGGCAGATGTGATGTCCAGGGGCGGCCCACGTCACGTGGACCGGACCCTCCATCCAGATCTGATGTTTTCAGACGTGGCAGAAGTTGGCAAAGCAGCTGTGGACCTGTTTGCGACGCGAGAGAACGCTCAGTGTCAACTATGGTTTTCCCTGAGCTCACGAGACGATCCATCGCTGGGGGGGGGACGCATTTGCTCACAGCCCGTGGCCCAAAACGCTTTTGTACGCGTTTTTTCCCCCACCTCCTCTGTTTTTACGGTTCCTGAACCGAGTTCAGGAGGAGGGATTGACAGCTCTCCTGGTGGCTCCCGAGCGTGTGAACGCACCATGGTTCCCAGGCCTGCAACGTCTGTTGTCGGGTCGCCGTGGAAACTGCCGTGGAGGGAGGATGCTCTCCTTCAGGCAGGAGGAGCGATCAGGAGTTACCCAGAAATAGGTCAGCACCTGTGGGTCTGACCGCTGAGCGGTCCCACTTAGAGAGGATGGGTCTCCCTCAGGAGATAGTGTGCACAATTCAAGATTCATGTGCTGCATCTACCACAGTTCTGTACACATCAAAGGGGACGGCTTTTCAGCGCTGGTGTACAGAGAAAAGTTTTAGAGGCCACCTCATGCCTTTTAGGCGGCGTGTTGTCTTTCTACAACAGCTGATGCATAGGAAGTTGGCATTCAGTACGTTTTAACGTACGTTGCAGTCATCTCTTCCTGCCACGAAGGTTTCGGAGACAGAACAGCTTTTAATCACCCGCTGATGAAGCGTTTTTCTAAAAGGTGTTCAGAGACGCAGGCCTGCTTCACGTCCACTTGCTCCACAGTGGGATTAACGCTGGTCCTGCGAGCCCTGATCAAAGCTCCAATTGAGCCTCTGGATCAGGTTTTCACTTAAAATTCTTGTCTCTTAAAACAGCCCTGCTGCTGGCTTTAACACCCGCTAAGAGGGTAAGTAATTATCTGCCCTCTCTGTTGCTTCGTCATGCCTTAGAATTTAGGCTGACGGGCAGCTCAGCTGATTTAAGACCAAACCCAGCTTTTATGCCTAAAACATTGCGAGCTCTTTTAAATCAAGTATGATATCATTGGAGGGGTTTCTCCCCCCCCCCCCACACAGATCAGAAGAGGAAGCATCTTTTCATCTTCTCTGCCCGGTGCGGGCGTTGACGTGTTACATAGCGCGCACAGCTGCAATGCGTTTCAAACTCAACAATTGTTTGTGCATTATAGAGATGCATCTGCAGGTCGCCCGTTATCCACCCAGCGCTTGTCACACTGGCTGTGTGAGGTTTTTTCTGAAGCCTACAGAGCATCAGATTTAGAGCCTCCTGTCAACCTCAAAGCACACTCCACCAGGGGTATCGCATCTTGGACTGCTCTGCATAATGGTATGTCAATGCAGGACATTTGCACTGCGGCTGCATGGTCAACACCCTGCTCATTTATTCGCTTTTACCTACGTGATGTAACAGCTCGTTCCATAACACATTCTGTCCTTAGTGCTCTATCAGAATGAATATTGTTGTTCTCATGGAACTCTGTTTAAGCTCACTTCTGTCTGCATGCATTACAGTGTGAGATGTTGTTATCAGTCACAAGTCGTGTCTGTGATTTTGGTTCTATTGTCACTAATCAGTTCATGACTATTGTTACCAATCAGTTCATTTGATCAATAATCAATTCATGGATATTAATCTGTTTATACTGTTCAGCCATGAACCAGTTGGTTCATGCCCCCCCCCCCCCCCCCCCTATTTTCAACATCTTTCCGTTGAAAGTTTTCCGGGGCGTTCATGCTTTGCCAGAACGCATAGTTACACAACATGCGTCTGTGCATGGCACATAATTACGCGATGCGTAGTTATGCACACGGGGAGCTGAGTGACAAGACGTTTTTTGGGCAAGCTCCGCTTCTTACTGTGTTCGAATGGACCCAGTGAGGCGAGGACCACATCCGCTTCACCCTTAACCCATCAGCGACAGCCTTAAAGGGCGAAGCCTATATGACATAGAACGTTGGTTACGTACTGTAACCCCAGATTCTATGAATATAGGCGTAGCCCTTTAAGCGTCGGGCCTCACTGGCTCCTAAATGGCTGAAGAAAAAAGCTATTTTGGGAGCCGATTTCCCGCTCTTAACGTAATTTATACGGACCGGGTGGGGCCCACAGAGCAGGTGGGCGTGGACTAAATTTTTCAGTGCTTATGCTCTGCATAACGGGATAAACCCATCAGCTACAGCCTTAAAGGGCTACGCCTATATTCATAGAATCTGGGGTTACAGTACGTAACCAACGATTTTAAAAGCACAATAATGTTTAGCTGCTCACGTTTTCAGTGTTCCCGATGTCATTAGCTCTGTCACGAGAACGATACACTTCTTCCCTTTCACCGGTGACTCCCAGAAGTCGTAAAAGCGAACGATGTTGGGGTGCTGGAGCGCCTTGAGCATCTCTGCCTCCTCTTTGAACCGCTGCCTCTCAGCTTTGGACAGTTTCCGTTCCTGGAAAAAAACAAAGGACACGGTACACTCATGTTTTGGCTATATCCTGTTTTAATCAGATGAAGAAGTGGTGGAAAGTAGAGATGCTCAGTAACCATCATGTGTGTTTAGATTGTTTTAGATTTATTGTAAGAAGCCCGATCTCTCTTTAAGCAAACAGAAACAGGCTGCTGGCTTCAGGAACGGTGAGGATTGCCTGAAGCTTCTGTTTGCAGTGAACACAGTTTGGGCCTTTTCAGTGGGGTAACATGGGGGTCTGACCTTTTTACTGTTTAGAAAACACACCTAAAACCTCGGAATCAACACGTCCTCTGAACACCGGGGAGTGAAACTCTTAATGTTTCATTCTGAGACAAAAGCACGCCTGTCATGGCCGATCAACAGGATTTCTTATTCTTTTCATTTCAGAGCTCAGCAGAAACACAACAAGTTCCTGGCTTTGACGTCTGCGTGCACCACTTTCTCATTTTTAAAGAGCGAGTCTAAGGAAATCTGCTCAAACTTGATCAATATTTTCACCTCTGCCTTCCCTGAACTGTTGTATAAATAGTAAATGAGCTGGCAACAAATCACCTCTACGTGTTTGTCTGCAGTCAGCAGAGCAGACAGAGCCCTGCAGCCACGACACATGACCTCCAGAGTTTCTCTGCTCCGTCCTCACAGACGCGTTTCAACTGAAACAAACCGGCTGCTTGAAATGAGAGGGAGTCCATGCACAACTCACGGCAACGATTATCGAACGATGCTGAGGAGTCAGATTTCACTCTTCACCCATGGTGATGTGCACACTCAAATCCATCATATATTACATGCTGCTTTAAAACTCTGCCTCTTCTGGTACCTCATTTATGCCCTTATTCTTACACAAATTATTAGTCAGTTATGTCCTGTTTGTTAAAGATGCTTTGCGGTGAGAAGATAGATCATAAACTGGATGTGGCAGAACTCAATCTGCCGCTCTAGAACCTCATTTTGCACAAAATGTGCACGACTGTGTTTATATTAATTGGAAACGTAACGTGTTAAAAACCTCAAAGCTGAAATTTGATGTGAAAAAAGAAGACTGCGTCATATTCTCTGTTTTACATTATACTTAGATGAACTCATTACTTCCCACTCGCATCTGCGTCTTGGTGCAAAGAGCTGTGTCAGCAGGAGTCACACTCTTAATTTATCTGGGTGATAACACCAAGGGCTTTAACTGGCTGTTTGGTATTTATCACGCTCATCAAGCTAGATAAATGAGAAAGTGCAGCTCTGAGACTGAGCTTAAAAAGATGATAGTTTATGTATCATCTTGCATGATTCACTGGTTTTGTATAAACGGCTTGTTCTGCAGGTGTGTGGCCCCGTATCCTCTTTAAATTGATTCTTAAATATTTGATTTGTAATCTTGATTTTTGCTGACTCATTCAACCCGCTGCACAAGTCGCAGGCAGACGGCTAAAACAAGCAGTCGGTTTTATGGAGCAGCTTCTTTCTGCGAGCGAGCCACGCAGGCATAAAGGCTCTAAAGGGCACAGCCTCATCTCGAGGGACAGAACGGTTGAATCATCACTAGATCTCCCCTAAGAACCTGCGCAGTACTGCATCACCGTGCACATCGCATCTAAATATACTCGCATACAGAACATCTTTTTTGGAACTCTGTAAATAATGTAGCTTTAAAAATATCTCCCAGCTGTTTGTTTCTTTCTTAACCGATGAGTAGAAAACTAACAATCATAGTATTTGGCAAAGGATAAGGATCTTTGTTCTTAAAAAAAAAAAACAGGTTCAAGTTTTACCTCCAAATGTGCCTGTAAACCAATGGTTCCCAACCATGGTCCTTGAGGAATGCCATCCTGCATGTTTTATTTCTCTGCTCCAACACACCTGAGTCAATGATTTAATTACGTCAAGTTCTGTCAAAGCCTGTTATTCACCCATTCATTTGAATCAGGTGTGTCAAAGCAGGGAAACAACTAAAACATGCAGGATGGTGTTCCTCAAGGACCATGGTTGGGAACCACTACATTAGCCTGTTAACTTTTTTCAAACTTTCGCCTCAATGGAAACCAGGTCTCTGCCAGAATTTGAGATAAACACAATGTGGCAGTGATTTAATTCATCAGGATGTCTGAAACTGAGTCGAGCTTCCTTTTTTTGGGGGGGGGGGGGGGGGGGGGGGGGGGGCTGACACCGTGAATGTGGATTCTGCAAAGCTCTAAATGTCTTCACCCGTCGTGGAGCGGCACTGAATCAATGAATAGTGTTGCATTTCTTCTAATCATAAACGAAATGTACGTTTTTTTTAAACAACCACTTTAAATTTGAGATCTAAAGCAAACGAGCTGTGCATTAACACAATGTGCTGAACATTTGCTGCTTCTTTTGAGCACGCTGCTGTTCAAACATCACCTCGTGTCCAGAGGTTTTTCTCTGGACCAAACCAAAAGACTTTGCCCAGTTTGAGCTGTAAAAGGGCAGCCGCTGTCTACAGGTCTGTCTCCAGACTAATCACATGGATAACATCTAAACTGATCAGTAGATTAACTCATACACAGATTAGCGATGCAGCAAGCTGTCCCTGCAGTGAGCCTCAATGTGCCGACAGTATTCCCTAAACACCCAGACGAAGAACTCATTGCATGAATTTATCTAAAGTACAACCTTAATGATGGAAAGGTGTGAAGGACAAGGAAAAGAGAAGTCCTGGCACTGAAAAAGCTGCACATGATTAAAATGCTCGTTCTCCTTGGCCACTGTACTCACATCCTTTCATCAGTGGGAACGTGTCCAAAATAAAATGCTAATCAGTTTGTCTGCTCCTCATACTTTATCTGAGTGAGGATGATGGAACGAAAGAGGAGGAACGAAGAATAAGAATATTACAGGACCTGACAGGGTCTCAGGGGGTTTAAAGGCCATGTCAGTAGTTGACTAATCCAACCATGTGTTTTTAGGACCATTATTGTTGCAGGTGTAAACATTAATACTCCATGATGATGTCTGGACCCACCTGCAGCTCACACCAAGCCACTTCAACCCAGGTTTCAGTGTCCAGACCCTTGTAGACGGTCTTGAAGGACCCTCTCCCCAGCTCAATGTCAAACTTGAGGAAGCGCCCCCCAGGTGAGGTGGACACAGCCTTCATCCCGGGCTCCTCTTCGTTCTCGTCACTTCCTGCTTTACCTGTGACGTCTGAGGGCCCCACCTCTGTCTTCTTGGGCTCGTTTTCGTTCCTGTCCACCTTCTCCTCGTCCGCGCTCACGCTCTCCGTGGCGCTGTCCTTCAGGCCCACCTGGCTCTCCGTGCTGGAGGTCTCCTGGAGGAGAGCCCCCTGCAGAACCCGGGCCCGGCTCCGGTCTACTATAGTCCTCAGGTCGATGCTGAGCACCGCGCTGCTGTTGACAATGATCTCCTGCGCGTCCACGGGCTGCTCCTCGTGGTCTGACACCCACAGCCTCCTGCGCACGAACCTCCTCCGGACCAGGCCCTGGGGGTCCGTGGAGGTGTAGATGCTGGGGTCGCTGGCCCCGCGGAGCGACGCGTTCTGGATGTTGACATTGTGGTCCGTGCCGTTCTCAAACACGCACCTGCAGTTCGCGTTAATGTCCGAGTCCAGGTTGGGCGCAGAGGAGTACGTGGATCCCAGCGGCAGGTTGTCCGCAGAATCCATCCCAGTCCAGAGAGTCAAACCCTCACCATGATGCTGGTTCCTCTCCCGGGTGCACCAGTGGGGGTTACTGCCCCACTACCTGCAGCGCTCGCCGTGACGCAGTTCTCCAGCCCGGCGCGTTTGGCCTGGTGCCTTGAATTAGTTCAGATCATCTCCTGAACATGTCCAGCTGCAGTCGGAGGACGCGCGCGCTCGGTCCGCCTCTCTGCAGCAGCAGAGCTCCTCCATACCTGATGCCACGAAAACAGATTCTTCCCGATGACAAGATCTCCGCGCGTGCCTGCTGTAGCATCTATTCATCCGCAGACAAGTGCAGGCCCGGGTGTTCAAACAGCGGCTCCATCACGGGCCGGCAAAGTGCGCATGCATCCCGCACTGAATCCGACAAGTGTGACATCAGCAATAAATAAATAAAAATATAAATGAATGTAGATGTAACTGAAACCATCAGTCCCTCCTCTGTGCAGCGCCTTGTCCCGGATCAGGTTCGGACTGCGGCACAGTTCGGATCAGTCCGGGTCGGTGCAGCTCAGCTGACTCTGTTTTCTCTTGGAGCTTTTGGACAGTTTTGACTGAACACACACACACACACACACACACACACACACACACACACACACACACCACCACCACCCCGCCCCAGCAACAGCACGTATCCAATGAGCCGGCACGTTTTCGGCCAGCACCCATTAACCCTGCCTTGCTTGGACCGGACCGGACTTGGCTCACCGTGACGCGCGCGACCTCCAGTGGCAGGGACGGAACTAGGGGGAGGGGGAAGGGTGGGGGTGGGCACGGGGTTCCTACAGGGTGGAACCCGGAAACAAAAAAAAAACTTGTGAGAAAGTGATGTCATGTCATTATTTTGGGACTTTCAGTCACAACAGCTGTAGAAATAAACAATTTTCAACTGTTTTTTTTTTTATTTGACACTAACTCAAACTTATCCATATTTTTGGAAAAATCACACTTTTTGTTTACAATTCATCTGTTTTTGAATTTGTCCCATTGAAAGTTGAAAACACCTCAGCTCCACTTGTTTCATCTTAGACCCGACTTTGCTTTAGCGCTTTCCAACGCTCTGTTTCCTGGAACAAAATGGCTCTCCTTCTGTCGACTCGCGTCCATTCAGCTTTTAGTCGCCCTTTTGTTTTTGAAAAGAAGAAATATACCTTTTCACTTTGAGCCTGGCCTCTGATTTCATCAGTCTTCCTCTGACTTTGTTTACATCTGGAGATTATTTTACTGACTCAACACACGTCATGTGACAAGTTTGTCCTAACTGTCAACGTTAGACTGTAAACAAATGGCTATAACAAAACATGATTCTGCTTATTTTGTTCATTTATTGCAAATGAACTGTTCAATTTTTTTAGAGAATGATGGATATTTAGTGGTTATTTTTTAGATGATGCACACAGATAAAAAAAATTAAAACAAAAAAAGTGTAGAAAATTGCACATTTTGATGGCTATTACAGCTTTGAATCAGATTTTTGCCAAACATTTGCAACACACTTGACATTAAACCTGACATGGCAAATGATAAAGAGGTAGACTGTATAATAAATACAAAAACTCAAGTTTGTCACAAAACCTGCTGCTTTAATATGGGGCATGAAATCCCACCCGAAGGTGCTCAAATAATCTTCAGGACTCAAAACAATAATGCTAAATGAACATTTACACCATAGTTATTACAAATAATAAATACAAGCATAATAATTTAATAAAAAAATGGCATTTTAACTGTTGCAACTGTTTGGGTTGTCAGTTGGTTCATGTTTAATAAAGTTATTAGCCAAGTCTGTGCACTTAAACTGGAGATATTTCAAAACTCAAGCCTTTTTTATTTTCTAGAATTGAATCTGAAAAGTTTTGGAACCCCCCAAAATAAACAATCACATAAACCCAACCCTACAACTTAATTATAATGTTATAATTCTTTTTTTTTCTCAAATGATTCACAAATCGTGCATGGAATAGTTTGTTTCTAGGTTGTTTGTGGCACCTCATATCTACGGAGCCCCGGAGGGAACATATGACTGAGTCCTGACACAACAACTGGAGGTCTTTAGATCATCTCCAGAAATCAGATTAAACATTTCAAACAATAATAACTATGTTTTTTGCCTTTGGCATCATAAAAAAAATTACAAATGCTGTCATAAATAGAAAACTTATTTATTTATTGAATTTATATGTTGGCCATGATAGTTTTTGTTGTCTTTAGCACAGTTTGCCTTAGTCACAAATGTCTGCATTTTTATAGGTCAAAAGCAGAAAAGTTAAAATGCCAATATCAGTAAGGAAAACTTATATAATGTATAATGGAGCAGTTCTTTAAATATATATTTTAATTGTAGTTTTGTGTGTAGTATTTATTGTTTTGATTTTAAGCCTGTGCACAAAGAAGGTTAATCATTAATGATAATTAAAAAAAAAAAACTCAACACTTGTCAATATTATGGAGTTGCAAATTGCAATGAATAAAACATAATTTGCATAAGATATCTTAAGTTTCCCAGTGTTGTCCAGTCGCTTAGTGTTTACTTTTATTATTTTTATTTTTTTTTATTCTTTTTTCTTTTTCCTAAAGTTTTGGAAGATATGTTCACTTTTTGTTTCACAAACCTTTTTCTTTACTGTCTCTTTGAAAAGTCACTGCTGGCCTTTATTTCACCTTTGCTAATGTTTTCTTTTTGCTTTAATTTTGGAAGTGGGTGGGGTGTCAGCTTCACTCAGCTTGAACTCTTGGTCTTTTCTATTTGGCTTGTGCGTGTGCGTGCGTACGCGCGTGGCATGTGACTGCATACTAATGAGATTCATTTTGCATGTCTTACATCATGTTTATCGCTCCTTTGATGCTTTCACTCTGTTGTCAGGATTTTCCCCATCTATTTGCACATATTACATGTTTGTATAATTTTGTTATTTTACGTTAATATTTCATCATAAACAACAACAACATTAAAAAGAATGAGACGAGAAAACCGCACCAAAGCTTTTTTGTGCTGCGTGTAATTCTCAATTTAGCCACTAGGTGTCAGTAAAGTCTCGTTGTTTGAAAGCGTGAAAGTAATTTAAACGAAAAACCCAAGTTCGACTTTTCTTCTTGCATTACATAATTTCATATATGATGTAATAAATCTATAATCAGCCTCGAAAGTCGACACTTCTCCTGAAAATGCTCAGTTTTGTGACAGCGGCCGCCCCCATGTCGGAGGGGCGGTAGGCGGCAGCTCGTCCATCTTCCACCCAGCGGCGGCTCGTTTCCTCGTCTCTCCACAGTTTGTGCGTCCGGCTGGAAGAAGCCACATTGTAGCTGCATGACGAGGCTGATTCCGCTCACAGAGATAAAGGATGGCGTCTGAAAACCTGGAGATGAACGGCGATGCTGATCGAGACACGGAGGTGAGACAGGACACGGTTCCCCAAAGAAAAACCAGAAAACATGGACCAGGTCTTTATTCGAGTGTCTGAATCATCGCGTGGAAAATATATTTGTCGTGATCTGAAGGATCATTTCTAAAAAAAAACTCGCTTCTTCTTGTTTTCCACGTGAGGCTATTTCTACCTCCATTCGTCTGCTCTGGGATCAGTTTACACATAATGACAGAGAGAACGCGGTGCGCGTGCGTGTGTCCGCAGTGGACTCTTTGAGAGGGATCAGGTGGGTTAATGACTGACCCAGAACCAGAGCCGAAAACCAGTGATCCTAGTCAAGGGTTTTTGATTTAAACGCATCTTTGTGCTAGAAGTGTCCAAACTGTGGTGGAAAAGTTTATTCATCATTTATAGTATAAGCAGACTTACTTAATATTCAGTGTTTTTATTTACAAATACGTAGTACTTGTACTTTTTGAGACCACTTTCATACTTTATCGTCTTTATTTGTCATAATGTGAAAAAAAAAAATTAGTATACATGATGTAACCGATTTTTGATATAAAAGACAAAACCACATCCCTAAAGTTTTGAGAATTGTTTCCAAGAATTTTAGCTTCTCACTTCTTTCCAAACTAGAAATAAAAACACATTTTAAACTTTACCATTGCATTAGTCAGTGGTAGATAGATAGATAGATAGATAGATAGATAGATAGATAGATAGATAGATAGATAGAGTGGAATCATATTTGGTCTTTATGCTTACAGTAATAAGTTTGCCATACCAGCTGGAGACGGAGCAGTTCTTACCTCAGCACTTGGGGCATTCCTGCATTTCAGTGAGGACTAAACAACTGTGTTTCGGTTGAAGGTCAGGGTGTGAATGAAACGACCAGAAATGTGAGAGTATTTCAAGACGCAGGCAACAAAAGCTGAACATGTTTTAGTTTTGCATTAAATCTGAAGGTATTATCTGATTTATGAAGATTCACACTACTTCTTTTTCTTCTTCTTCTTTCCCTCTTCAGCGAGTCATCCTCCTCCATCTCTGTCCTCTGCATCCTCTGTCCTCACTCCAACTCCCTCCATGTCCTCTCTAACTGCATCCATATATCTCCTCTTTGTCTTTTTCCTGGCAGCTGCATTTCTAACAGTCTTCTACCAGTATACCCACTGTCCCTCCTCTGGACATGTCCAAACCATCCCAGTCTGGCCTCTCTAACTTTATCTCCCAGTTGTTCAACCTGGGCTGAACCTCTGATGATCTCATTCCTAATCTTATCCATCCTTGTCACTCCTAAGGAGAACCTCAACATCTTCATTTCTGCCTCTTCCAGTTCTGTCTCCTGTCTTTTTGTCCATGTCTCTGTCTCCAGTCCATACAACATAACTGGTCTCATCACTGTCTTGTAAACTTTTCCTTTGACCTTTGGTGACACTCTTTTGTCACAAATCATCCCTGCAACTTTTCTCCATCCTGCCTGGACTCTCTTCTTCATCTCTTTACCCCATTCCCCATTTTCCTGGACAGTGGACCCCCAAGTACTTGAAGTCCTGCACCTTTGTGACCTCTGACCTTGTAGCCTCACTGTTCCACCGGCCTCCCTCTCATTCACACACATGTACTCTGTCTTACAATTGTATTTGTCTGACTGCAAGACTAGAATCAACAAGTCTGAAATACATTGTTGGACCAAAAGAGAGGAGGCTCTCTAACCCGTTGTCATTAAGGACAATTTGGTTCAGAATATTTTGTTAGAAATGTGTAAGGTTTTGTAGGGTACGTTTTATTGTCGTGCATCAGCTGTATAAGATCATTAAAAAAAAAAAAGTTTAAAAAACAAAACAATTGGACTTCTGTTGTGTGGCTGGATTGTGGGGTGTTCATATAACTGCATGGCAGGCTCAGTTATGTGGCCAGATTCATGAAGATTAGACTAAAACTACACGGCCGTCACAGTAAAGAGCTGTTCATGTGTTTGTGTGCCTGGCTCACACAGATGTTTTCATCACACTACATGAAGGTGTAAATTAGTTGAGCTGGTTGGAAATCAGGCCTAATGCTGCTTTGTAGATTTCTGAAAGTTCAAATCCAAGACCTCCTCCTCTGTTTAAAGATTTAACTCAAACGGGCTCCTTTACTTTGTCAAGTCTTCTGGGTCCTTGTGTTTTTGTGCTTGTTCTTCTCCATGTTCTGTTCTGTGGCGTGATTTTCAGATTCCCTCGCTGGTCACACAAAAGCCTGGATATCCACAGGTTTGAAGAGCTTTTTTTTAATTTAAATGTTTCTGTTCCATCCCTTCTGTCTTTACGGGGATGTGTTCAGCCTGATGGTGTAAAGTTCTGATGACAGAAGGTTTGCGTCTCAGTGAGAATCAAACAGAAGGTTCTGATCTGTGGGACTTGGTTTCCTGTAAACTTCAGCATTGACGCTTCCAACTTTTTCCATGTGCACAATACAGTTAAAAAAAAAAGAAGTCATTTAGCGTGCTCGCTGGTGAACTTGAGCTTAATGTCCACAGAGTTGATGTGTTGGGTGAACACTTCTGCTTCTGCCTGGATTCTGACCCAGGTATCCACATCTCTGAACCAGGAGCTCCATGTATCCTGATGCATGCTCGAGCTCCATGTTTTCCCTTGAGAGAGTCCAGAGCTCTTGTTTCCACTTCCTCCATTTAGAGATTGGCCACAATGGGTGACACTGGAAACCTCATGGCACAATCGTGCTTCTGTTTGTAGAAACTGAATAGAACTTGGAATAAGTGGAAGAAAGACAGAGGTCCGGCAGGGTATGGTGCTGCTCTGGGCTGAAACCGGTCCTGTTGTTTAGAACCTGTTGTCTAGCTTTAATGAGACGTTTCCAATTACAGAATAGAAGTGGAGTTGTTTTGTAAATTAAATTCAATTAAATTCATTTCAGTTTATTTATAAAGCGCCAAGTCACAACAGAAGTCATCTCAGGGCACTGAACAGAAACATTCATATAAATAAAAAGTCCGTTAATAACATTATTTAACTGAGGAGCAGACTGCTTTGAGTTTAACTCCATCACAGAACTTTCATGTTGAACAAGCATGAAGGCGACAGTGGAAAGGAAAAACTCCCTCATGAGGAAGAAACCTTTAGCAGAACCAGGCTCAGGACAAGCGGCCATCTGCTTCGACCGAGTGGGTTTGAGAGGACAGGAAGGAGGAACAGATACACAATGGCAGTTTGAGAATCACATGTTAAAATATAAATAATATCAAATGAAAACTATTCATGTGTAACGATTCATGTAAGGAAATTAGGTCAATTTGTCCTCCAGTAGTCTAGTCTACGGCAGCATAACAATCCGACCCTAACTATAGGATTTATCAAAGTCTTAAGCCCAGTCTTAAAACTGGACAATGTGTCAGCCTCATGGTCAGAAACTGGAAGTTGGTTCCGCAAGAGAGGAGCCTGATAACAAAAACATCTTCCTCACATTCTGCTTTTGGTAACTCTAGGAACCACAAGTAAACCTGCAGCCTTGAGAGCGGAATGCTCTGTTAGGAAAATATGGAACAATAAGATCTGTAATATAAGATGGAGCTAGGTTGTTGAGGGCTTTGTAGGTAAGAAGTAAGATTTTGAATTAAATTCTAAATTTGACAGGGAGCCAGTGGAGAAAAGCTTATTATTATTATTATTATTATTATTATTACTTATTTTTGGATTTACCATATTCTGGAGGACAGAGAATCCACACCAGCAGGAGCAGGTTAATGCAGAACATGGTCTTCAATTGGGTAGGCTAGAGTTAGGATGTACACAGAGAACATCCTAACTCCTCAGAGTGGTGGAAATCTTTTTTGTAGCAGAGGTGTGAGTGCAATAAAGTGATCAACTTTAGTTTCAACCTTTGCCTCGAAACTAGAAACATGCTGTGTTTGACTGAACCAAAGTCCGTGTGGTAATTGTGATGTTACAGAAAATATGCATATATAAAGTTTTTAATTGGGCCAAGAGGGCAGAGCAAAAGGTCAGAAGGCACTCAACTTTGCTCCATCAATAATGAAACCTCGAGGAATCTGTGTTTAATATGTGACTTATGAGCTGAGTCATTTTGCAATGTTTTAATTTCACATAAAAAGCGCCGTTGTATTTTTTTTTTATGTTTATGAACACGTGTGTGATTTCTGTTTAAACTATGACATGTTGGTGATGTTTGTAAGATGCTCACAAGTCGTAACTTCTTTTTTTCACTCATTTTGGACAAACTTCATGTGAAGCCAGCGTGTGAGCTCCTCAGTGACATGTCATAATATTTATGACACATTTCCTGACACTAACTCCGTGACCTTCTGTCAGATTCTGCAAAGACGGAGAAAAAGTTTGTACTTCTGTTAAATTTTTCCTGCTTGCAGCAAACTACTAAATGTGCACAGTTCCGGCTTCTTTCCCCATCACATCTCAACATCTGGTTTATTGTTGGATTTTCTTGACAAGATTAGTACTTTAAAGATATTAAACAGCACAAAGGCACAACTGATAGTTCTGAAATCATGATCATAAATGTTTACCTGGTATTTTTAATCCTTTTTAAAATAATAAAGTAATTAGGACCAAAACATTTGTCAAGCTGAGTCATCATTTTAATGTTTTACAAAATGATCTTGTGCTGTTACATTCATTCAACCTATATTTAGACAGGTAAATCCCATTGAGCCTCGAGGACTCATTTACAAGAGAGACCTGATTTCAACAAAGAATGATGACAACAATAGACAGTTATAAAAAGGCATACAGATTTGATTTTTTTTACAAATAGGATGGCTAAAAAAAGAAAAGTAACAAAAAACAGCTAGATCATAAGGTGAATGTAGAAAACTAAAAACAGGAACAGGTCTGCATTGGTCCTTGCCAGAAGTCCAACAGGTTCTTAAAGACACTTAGAGAGGTCAAGGTCGAGAGCTTCATATCTTTTTGTAAGATATTCCAGGAAACAGGAGATGAGTAGGAGAAGGCCCTTTTGCCTAGTTCAGTCCGCACTGAGGGAACACTGCAGGTAATAATGTCCTGAGAGCGCACGCTGTAACTGCACTCACGCAGAGACATGAAGGAGGAGATGTATGAAGGCAGGAGACCAAGAAGTGATTTAAAGATGAAAATGTACCAGTGAGAGAGTCTGCGTGAAGTTAATGATGTCCTGTTAACCAGTGAATACAGGGTGCAGTGGTGGGTACGATAATCACAGCCAGTTATGAATCTTAGTGCACCATGATAGACACATCCAACATCTGCAGGGTTCTTGTAGGAGCATTCATGTAGATAATGTCACCGTAATCAATGGAGGGAAGGAAAGTCACAGATACAAGGCGTTTTCTAGCATTCAGCGTTAGACAGGATTTGTTTCTGAAAAAGAAACCCAGTTTAACTTTCACTTTCTTTACCAAGTTTTCCACATGGAGCTTAAAAGAGAGATGTGAGTCGACCAAGATACCCAAATATTTATAGGAATCAACAAACTCAATGGGGACACCTTTTGATTCCTGAAACTTATCAGGGTGTTGTGTACTAAAAAATAAAACGTGTGTTTTCATTTAGCCAGATTGTAAATAATTCCACTATAATAGCAGAAATAGTGGACTTTTTGTTTTGCCCTCCAAATGAAGAAGCAACTTCTTAAAAAGCAAGTTTACTCTGGTTTGAGGGAAAGTGAAACCACTGCAGTGCATCAAAGAGTAAGTTGCACAATTAGGTGAATTCTGTAGGTCCGGACTGAAAAGACACTTAAGATAAGAACTGAAAAGTTGATAAATGTTAATAAAACCTGATCAATCTTAAACTTTTTACTGATGGAGCGAGAAACAGACGCCAGCTTGTGCCTCTTTGTCACACTGATGCCAGGGCTTGTGTTTGTCTCCAGGTGTCGGTATGGGAGAACCGGAGGCGGCAGAGCAGACCTCTGAACATGAACCATTACGCCAACAAGAAGAGCGCAGCGGAGAGCATGCTGGATGTGGCTCTGCTGATGGCCAACGCCTCGCAGCTGAAGGCCGTGCTCGAACAAGGGCCGGACTTCACCTTCTACCAGCCCCTCATCGCTCTCATCAGCATCTCCCTCATCCTTCAAATCCTAGTGGGAGTCATGCTCATCTTCATAGGTGAGCTCAGAGGCGGCAACGTCACATTTATTGAAACAATCCTTCTATTAACATTTCCACAGGAAGTCAACCAACGCCTAAACATTGTACGATGTGTTTAAAGGGCAAATACTAAAAGCAAAATGTTTTTAAATGTAGCTATTTTAAGGTCAGTGTTCACATGGACGGAAATGAAAAAACCTGCCTAAATAAAACAAGATAATTCACTTTTGACTCCGCCCCCCCAAAAAAATCATAGTGAATTTATTAAAAATTTATGGAAATCGTCATTGGGCAGCACGGTGGCACAACTGGTAGAGCTGCTGCCTCTCAGCGAACAGGTCCCTGGTTCAAACCCCGGTCCAGGGGCCTTCTGGGTGGAGTTTGCATGTTCTCTCCGTGCATGCATGGGTTTTCTCCGGGTACTCCGGTTTCCTCCCACAGACCAAAAACATGCATGTTAGGCTGATTGGTAACTCTAAATTGTCCCTAGGTGTGAGTGAGAGTGCATGGTTGTTTGTCTCTATGTGTCCCTGTGATGGACTTGCGACCTGTCCAGAGTGTACCCCGCCCCTCGCACAGTGATTGCTGGACATGGGCACCAGCGACCCCCGTGACCCAAAATGGAATAAACGGGTAAAGAAAATGGATGGATGGAAGTCGTCATTGTGCAGAATTGTCAATAAAAAAGGGAAAAATACATTTATACAGATTGTTGTGATCTTCAGGCTTTCAGAAAGTCCCAGGTTTACTAGCAGTATGCTTATGTCCCTCGTCACAGAAGGATTTGAATAGTGAGCGTTTGTAGTTTTCAACATGAGTGTTTTTTCTGAACAGGGAATGCAGGAAAACCTTAATGTTTTTGGTGCAAGATATTCAAGTGAGTAGGAGTTACACTGTGTAGAAGAAAAAAGGTAGTTTGTCCAAGGTGATGCAGGGTGATGGACACTGGTGAGCAAAATGAGCAATTTTATCCATGACCAGGTGCAATGGTGGAGCCAGGGGTAGCCTGGTCACACAGTTGATTTGAGGAAACTATACTTTTAAGCAGTGGTGCTCACAGTTCTGCTAATCCACTAATAGTGAAACGGATTTGTGTGTTTGCTATATTTGAAAATCTTTAGTGGATATAGATTTCGCTAAATTTAAATCCAGTAAATTTAAGTCCGCTAAACAATCAGAAACATTGCAGACATAATTCCTACCCAGCATGCTTTACAACGCTCACTCTTTTTTTCATTCAACCTTTATTTGCACAGGTTAGTCTCATTGAGCCTCGAGGACTCGTTTACAAGAGGGACCTGTTTTTAACAAAGAACACAGATGAGGTACAGACAACAGTAGACAATCTTATAAAAAGCATATAAAATGAAAAGTAAATAGGAGAAATTATAAACCAATGTTAAATACTAAAAACAGGAACATGTAACAGGAACTGGGACGTGACTCTCTCACACATGATTTCACACATCTTTTTTCTTTAATATAAACAGATTTATTACTAGGTTAATACCTTTTATGTAAAATCCTTACACTAATCACTTCAGAATCAACAGTGTAATTTAATTCCATACAGCCGTCTGAAGGGTAGACAGAAGTGTACCGGGGCTGCAGCTTCTATGAAGCGCTGCCCTTATCACTTAGATAAGAAAAGGGGAAGAAAACATGAGGAGAGAAGGTATCAATAAAAAGCTCTCTCACACTGTGTCCTTTATACAGGGTGTGGTGTAAGGTAGCAAAAAAAATCTACATCAGCACAAGCAACATAGAGAGACATAATACATTTTGCAGGGGGGTGTGACAAGATGGTGAGATTGTCCATGAAGCCTTCCAGATAGTTTCCATAGTCCTGATAAAGATGTTAGTGTCTCTCAGCCGATCCACTCTGATAAGGGCAGAGCATCTTAACTTATGTATCCACCAGGAGCAATTTGAGATCAGTTGGCCTGTCCAAGGCCAGCGGGGAGGCCAGATTCAGATAAATAACAATTGTTTTGGGACAGGCCGACTCCACTGGTTTCCTGTCTGCCTTCAGTTCTGCTGGTACACTCAATGGTGAATCCAAACAGCCCGATTAGTGGACATTTTGTCTGTCTGTGCTTGTTAGCCTTCTCCAAGGTGGATTCCTTCATGCCGGTGAGTTCTAGGAGCTGCAAGTGGCCCACGATTTTCAGAAATCGCATCCAGCTTAGTTCAGCTCACAAAGCATATTAGTCTGAGAGCTCGAAGCACGGTGCAATCCTTCATATAAGGCAGGCAGCATCACTATTGCCAAAACTGCTGCCGACGTCTTCCTAATTTTTCGATATCCCAGGTACCCGCTGATTCCAAAAAGCAGAAACCCTGTTATTATAAATCCAATTATGTATGTGTCTTCTACATCCTCAACAGACAGCACAGACGGGCACATCATCTTCCAAACACCCCAGGAATCCATGACATATCCAGCTGCCTGTGTCCCTTCAGGGCATGAGGGTTCTCCTGCACCCTGTCTTCTCGTCGATAAAATTTGATCAATTGCGTTGAGAGACCGGCTGACCAGATCTATAATAATTTACGATTCGGAAAATGTGCAAAGAGAGGATCTGAGAGTCACAGGACAAGAGAAAAAGCAGGAGGGGAGGCAGGAGAGGGAAAGGGAGCATCCGTTTTTACCGAGAGTGCGAGAGGAAAAACACTTGAACTGCAGGATAAAGAAGATGATTTCCTCAGTGCATTTTCACATTTCATGGTTCATTAGTTTGGCATAGAACATTTGTTCACTTGTGAAGATGAAGTTAATTCAGAATTATGTGTAAAAGTTTTGAAACATTGTGTGCTGACACTTAGAGCTTTCAGCTGAATGTTGTTTTTGTTTTTTTTCAAGACGATGTCAGACTAATGTCCGTGTATTCATATGGCAGGACGCTAAACTGCCCTTCCTGCAGTCCAGACACGACACCCACTGAAAACCTTGAGTGTAAACAAAAAGAAATGCGTAAGACTCTGAACTGTCAGGCAGCTAAAATGATACAGCATGCAAAATGGAGGAAGACGTTACTTTGAAATAAGCAACAATTTTCTTTCTTGTATCCGAGTATCAATTAAAGAGGTTGGTCCAGAAGTACAACATGTCCCTGTAACATTTTCACAACCATACATAATTTAATGATCACAGTTAAATGTAAAAACAAACAACAAAACACATTTTCAAGAGGCATATTACTGAAAAAATAAAAATTAACTTAACAAAATAAAGGCCGAATATATTTTCTCTGTTACAGTTTCATGACCAACTATAATATAAACTCCTATTATACAGAATAAAAACTCCCCGACTGAAGTGAGTAAATCCCCTCATACTGACGAGGCCCTCCTCTCCTCTGGCTGTTTTCTTATCTTACCCGAACAGAAAAATGTTACAATGTGGAGAGTGAGTGGGGTTTTGACAACTGCAGCAGGAAGTGGTGGCCTCTGCTGGGTCCAATTTAAAGAACTGTTTACTATTAGGTAGAATAGTCTCAGAGGAAATGACGTAACTAAGCTGCCATGGAAAACAATTATCTGTTTAAAACAAACCCACAAGTTTCATTCACAGATCAGGAAGGCATGTGAGTTCTCACTGGATCAGTAATCCTTTAAAAAAAACATTAAGGTGAGGCTCCTTACTGCCCCCTTGTGGTGTAAATTATGTCACTACGTGTAGCTGTTTATGAGCATCAAGTGATTCCTGTTTGTTTTCCCAGTGAAGTGGAATCTAAACGATGAAAGCATGCACTACAAGCTGAACATCTTGGAGAACACTGCCACGGCGTGCGTCTTTGTCATCGTCGTAGTCAACGTCTTCATCACAGCGTTCGGCGTGCAGCGCCCCAACCCGGGACCTTCACCACCTTCTTGACGTGACACACCTACTGCCGGTGGAGACACATTTACCAAAACATGACAGTCATGTTGTTTATAACCTGCCTTGTTTTATATGTTTTCTTCTTTTAGTGTGTTTTTTTTTTTTTTATTTTATTTCAAAAGTTTTGTTGTTTTACCTCTGATCGTGCTCAGGTTGCTGATGCAAATAAAGGACGGCCTTTATCAAACAAAAATCAGGAGAATCCTACTCTGTGTAAATCAACAATACTGTGAGCATTCCTGAAAAAAAGACTTTACTAGTTGTTTTTTTTAAGTTTTTGTGTTGGTATGCTAATCGTGTATTTTGTAACAGAACATAATATGAAGTCTTCCTCCTCTTCACGATGCTTTACTTTGTACAACAGCTTTACAGTGGAGGGGTAAATGTATTTGTCCAGTGCTTTAAATCTCCATCATTAAAAGAAGTGCACTTTTTTTTTGTCTTATGCAAAGTGTAAACAAATTGACATGTACTTTTACTTTATATGGCTTTATATTATCTGTGTCTGTGTTCACTTTTTGTAGCACCAAATCAGCTTTAGTTATGAACTCTTGTACAGTCACTGCTGTTTAAATTATATTTTAAAAATAAAACTCGAAAACCAACTGTCGCCCATAGTTTTTATTTTAATTAAACTCAAGAACGTGCATGCGATGGCACTTGTGAGACATTTCTCCAGAACACAAAAAAAATGACAAACGGATAAAAAATGCATTATATTACTAGACAAGACCAATAATTCATCATTCCTCGTTTTGAAAAACTATTTTAAAAAGACAGGAACAATACACTGAAAGCAGTTTAATAGTCGTATAAAAATGCACTTATCCATCCATTCTATAAAGTTGCTGACACGCTGCTTAAATATTCTTAAGTATTCTGATGAAAAATATTTACTTAAAAACTTTAGATAAAATAGACTTGTTGAAAAATCATCCTTTTTAAAGAGAGGCACGTTCGGTTATGTAAAACTAGTCACTGCCCACAGTTAATACAGTATTTATCACTAACTAGCAGACAAATGTACACACTACCAAACATATAATAAACTAGGCTTTTGTACCTCAGAAAGGGTTTATTGGGTATAAAACTCTGGCAACCAAGCAAAGTTAATGACTGCAGGCCAGCAGGAAAAATAAAAAGGCAGAAACAAAAACAAGGGAAGAGGCACGTTTCCGTTTTCTAGCTACACCGTGAAAACAGGAAGCATGGATCTGGATACGCACATGGTCTGTTAAAGCATATAAAAAAAAAAAACTTGGTTAGAGATGCCACGAAGTAGGTGGCAATGCCTTAACCGTATATGTGTTGATGGCCTCAAGGGCCAATTCCATCCTTGTCAAGGGGAGTGCTAACCTTCTCTCCTTTCATACAACACAGCTGAAGGAGAGAACACGCCCCTATATAAAGGCTGAAAATATAAGTTGACTTCCATTACGGTGCTATTTAGAAGGTTAACCACATAACTACGCTTTTTTTTTTTTTTTTTTCGTAGTATATAAATTCACTAAAACGTTACATTATTTCGTTGCTTTATTCGACATTTTCTACGTTTTTACATGTAATTCTATACCCACAATGCACTGCGCGCTAAAGACGGACTCTCAATGGTGCGAAGTATCACGTGACATAAAAAAAAAACACGCTCAACACGTTTAAATGCAGTTTCCCATATAAAATATCGTTTCAAGTTGATCTTATATCGATACCATTCGTTTCTTTGGTTTTTTTCACTCCCTCAAATATAAGCAGAATTTATTAAAGCGCTTAAAAACGCAACAAAAGAGGCGGGTTTCCGGGTCCGGAGGCCCGCAGCCAGCTCACGTCCTAACAAAAGTTACAGGGTGTAGTTTGTCTTTTGTCCAGTAGATGGCGGGCTTTGAATCAGGTTTACAGACTCGTTTCAGGTTTTTCCACGTCTTATGTAAGCAAAAACAAAGTAGTGTTACTTTAAACAACCCATTAATTAGATAACAAAAATAAAATTATTTATGCTGTTCAATTTAGTTGAGATTGTGAGAAAGATTGTTCTTTTAGTCATGAATCTTTCTTACATTTGGGTATTTAGGACACACTGTTTCAACTCATAATAGTGTTTTCTTCCTTTTACATTTAAATATTTACACAGTTTCCACCAACTTACTCCATCACGTCTTTAGCCTCAAGTGTATTTCATCCCTTTAACCATTCAACAAACACGAGTATAAAATAAATAAGCAAAAGTGCCACATTTGTTTTGTTTTCCACATTTCAAACAAAACATAAAATCCACACGTGCATATTTTACACCCTGTGCAAAATTGAGACGATAAGGCGTGCGTTGGTAGTATCAGCAATTCTGATGCACCAGATGTGAAGGAGTCGATCGTTACTTCATAAAGCCTTCGTCAGTGTACCAAATAAGAACCTCCTGAGCTTTTCTTTTCAAACCCAGGGCCGCCATCCCAAGTGCCCGGCTGCCTCCAGACACTTTAGCTTCTACAGGAAGGAAAAATGATCAACAATACAAAAAAAAAAAAAAACAAGACAATAAAATAAAGAATAATTGTTAGAAGAAACTGAAAAAAAAAAATCTTTACCACTGTAGTAATAAAGTAAAGCCACTCCCAGAGCAAAGCTGAAACAGCCCAGGAAGAAGAGGGGATCTAGAATATGTACAGAAATATAAAGGGCCATATTTAGAATCAGCTCCTGTTAAAGCAACTTACTGCCACAACATCCTGATGCATGCTCGATAATCCAGGTAGAAAAACCTAAAAAAAAGTTAAATCAGGTCCTCTGGACAGATTATTCTTGTGTTTACTGCCACAACACTTTTAAACTTGCTCGTTTTTATAATACTGACAAAGGAAATAATCGTTCTGAGGTCCTAAGGTTTAGCTGTAGTGTTTTTAGCATTTAGTTCAAATTAACACATTAAAGACTTCAAACACCAAAATAACATTTTAAAACATCTGGAAGACTTTCTATGAAACAAAACAAATCAAATCACTGCATCTTTGACTGTTTGTATCAAAATGCACAATAAGGAGACCACACAAATGTTCATGCGGTCACATTACCCACCTCTGTCGTTCATATTGTGTTTCTGTTTGTAAGTACGAGAAAGCATAAGAGGATCCGAGGCATCTGAGATAAAGGAATTAAACAATAAATACATAAATAACAACATTCATACACACTGAAAGACCCAAATGGTAAACATTTGAATGAAATGAAATATGGAAATCGTTGTTGGGGGGGCTAACCTCTGAGGCGAAGCCGTGTGGGCAGGCTGTAGTACACCTCCTCCACGTGAAGGTGAAGCGCTCGGTAAAACTCCCTGCAGGCTTCCTCGCCTTTCCCCTGCAGATGGGTCAGGAGCTCGCCCAGGCGCACGCTTGTCGGTACGTCTAAATTTCTAAACTGCACAAACATTAGTAACTGTTATTAAATGATATTCCTTCTGTGGTTTGTTGGTTGTGAACTTCTGAAAGTATCTGTGTATATATATATATATATATATATATATATATATATATATATACATAACATATTTTCCACCATAAACGTTGCACCGCCCTATAAGTCACATCAGTCCAAATATGTCTAATAAAGTGGAAAAATCCATAAATATGTCGCTTCACCGTATACGTCGCATCTATTATGCGTCACTGCTGACGCGTTGCGTTTGTTATGCGTCAGCGCTGACAACCTGGAAATGTGGGCCAGTGTGCCAAAAGTTGATTGGCTTGCCAAATGGCGTCGCAGGAGCGCGCACGAGAGGACTTTAACAAGAATTTAACAAGACTAACACATAAAAACAATTATTTGTTTGCTTGAAATTATAGAAAAGGTGTGTCTCAGTTTAACTTTTGATTAATAAATGCACTTTGACGGTCAAATCAGCTGCATTTCAAAAGCCGGTTCGCGGAAGCGGGCACAGGCAGAAGGACAAGACGCTGTGCATTTCTTCGGAATTTAACAAGAGAAACACCTAAAAACAATTGTTTTTTTTGCTCGACATTATAGTAAAGGTGTGTCTCAGTTGAACTTTTACTTAATAAAAGGATTTAATAGTCAAATTAGCTTGTTTTCGCCGGAGCGGCGCAGTGAAATGAAGCTGATTTGACGGTTACTCCAATCAGTGAGCAGAATGAAGGTGGCAGGCTATGGCAAGCCAGTTGTGTCATTAATAGCCACTTTTACCTATTACACGATGCAACGGCATGTCATACACTCGACTGCCATCTAGCGACTGAAAATGGTAGTGTTCAATATTTTCAGTCAGAATGAATGAAAACGGTCATATCTCAGCCAAAAATTGGTTTATAAATATGGGAAAAAATCCATAAATACATCGCTTCAGCATAAAAGTCGCAGGGCATGCAAATTATACAAAAACTGCGACTTATAGGGCAAAAAAATACGGTATATCACAATTAATGTAAAAGTGTTGCTTTCAAGCGTCGTTTTTCACACAGCTTGATTTGATTTTGTGCTGTCTGACGCTCGACCTGAGGCTCATTAACTGTGTTGAAATTGTTTTCATATGCAAGATTCTAGTTACGTTTTTAGATTGAAGGAAGTTTTGCGCACGGCTGCCAAATAAATGCCAACACATGCACCGTTGCCTTCGAGTTTACACACCTGTAATAACAATTTACAGGCTATCCATCCATCCATTAGCTTTTACTCGCTTCTTCCTTTTCGGGTCACGGGGGTCACTAGTGCCCACGATGGCATGCATGTTGTAAACATCTAACAATAATATGAAGCAGTGACTACCTTTATTGAGAGCCTTTGCAAATAAAACTTTAGCTGTAAATGTCTAATTCACTGAACAACAATCCAGCTGGGTGTGCAAGTCTGGACTCACTCTGGTGGCCTCCTTGTCTGTGAGGATCTGAGGGTAGATTCTGTTGAGCTGCAGGATGAGTTTGTCCACCAGCTCCGTGTCCAGTCGCTGCTCGGCTCGGAGGAAGACGCTGTCCTCCATCAGCTGCTCGTGGAAACTGTCTGCGGGTTCAACAATAGGGTCATTGAAAATGTGCAGCAGCTATAACGACGCTTCATTGTCATTGTATATTTGAAACAGAAGCGCGAGAACAGGCACGCGGGGTTTGGAATAGCCAAAAAGTAACTAGAATTACTACTAAGAAGTTCACTTTCCTGTCAAACTTTGTGTGGGGGAACTTTTCAGGAACCTTAACATGACTTGTTTGACATTCCGCCGTCTTTGACAAACTAAAGCGAGGAAACCTTTGAGGTCGTTAAAGCGACAGTAATGTTGAAGCTACGAAACTTATAGTGGACTATAATGGATAAACAAAAGGGTTCGTTCGAAGTAAAGTGATGAATGCTTTGGATTTTAGTTAAAAAAAAACGACACAAACCTCCCATAGCGGCGTCCCCCGTTTAGTTGATTTGGACGCGCCCTCTGACGTCATCACGCTGGAGCAGACGGACGTACGTCAACAACGTGGATCCAACGAGAAAACCCAGGGTGGAAATTTTTAAGGTAAATTTTATGCATTTGTTAGATATGTATACGCAACAAACTCACTTTTGTCGTATTTAAAAGACAATATATTAGCTGCATCTTAGTGAAGCAGCATTTAAGTTTGGATAAGTGGATTTGAATGACCATAATTTTCATTCAAATGTAAAAAGTCCAGTAGATAATCTTCCATATCACATTCAAAATGAAATAAAAAAAAAAACTTTTTTAGTTAAATTTAAATACATCTTAGATACTGTCATATTTTTGTTGCCGTTTTTATAAAATGCGAGTCCAAGCTTCATTGTAATTTTTCATTAAAGTGAAAATGTGCACAACAATTAAACATATAGCTGAGGTTTATACACCCAGGGCTGGATTTAGGAGGATGGGGGCCCCTGGGCTGGAGTCAGGATGGGGGCCCCTGGGCTGGAGTCAATACTGTATATGGGGGGGCCCTATATATATATATATATATATATATATAGACCAAGGTTTTTACAGAGAACATCTTGAAAAATATGAAGAACGAAATACAGATTTCCATTTATTAATGACACTTCTGCATTCATCTTATTTGGAGGAACTAGAACCACAAACACTGTTGTCTGCCATTGTAAAATAATATTCCCTGACGCTCCTCCCCAATGCGTAAGATGCGTAAAAAGTGGACCAATTACAAGCAAGCATTCAAGATGGACGTTTTCCAGAACAAATTGGAACATTTTTCATCGGTGCTGTCAAAATCATCATAGTCATTGATTAAATTCTGACACTATCCATTCACAAAAACATGAAACATCCTTCGGGGCCCCTGAAATGCCGAGGCCCCGGGCTGCAGCCCCTGTAAGCCCCTGCTAAAATCCGGCCCAGTATACACCAGTTTTTATTTGAATGAAAACAGTAAAAATATATATTTAAATCAAAACACTGAACACCTCTGAAGTGTGAAAGTTATTTATTTCCTCACCAGCCTTCACCGGAGCCAACATATACTTTGTTAATGTTTAACCACAGTTGTAGCCAGACATCTGAATTCAAACTTCTTTATTTAACAAAAGGACAATGAATCCTGTAGTCGGAGCAGACACAAATAAATACAGTTGCATTCATAGTAAGATGAAATGTAAAATCAATACTGTCACATGGTACGAACATTTACTTTTTCTGTTCTTTTCTTAAAAAACCTGGTTTGAAAATTGCACTTAGACAAACACAGAATGGCACGGCAGACATGTAACTTTTAGACTGAAAACGGATATAAAAGTTGTAATAAAAATTATTTTCAAATCCTTTATGAATAAACCTTTTAATACTAATAACATTTAATATTTTAAAAATCTTTAAATAAGTTTAACATAAAAATAACCTATATCAGTCATGACAAGTTTACTTGAGAGCTGACAGAAATACGGTTTACATACAACTCTGCATTTGCAGGATCATAGAGTGATAATGTTTCTTTTTTTCTATTTGCTAAAGAGGAAACATTATTTATTGAGTTATAACTTAAATCTTAAGCCCAAAGGCAACAGAGGCAGAAAGTGACACATATATTTATACATCTACTGCTTGATTTTAACCTGCAAGACAAATCTGGTTTTTAAGGCCAACATATTACCTGACTTTGCTGCTATGAAATAAATTAGGTCAAGAAATATGGAGACACTTGAAAATATAACAGAGAATCCAACAGTTAAGCGTTAGAAACATATAAAAAAATAAAACAAGCTCAATTTTATTTGTGTATTTTAAATTATGAATAATCTATGAGCAGATATGTGACGACAAAAAGTGCTCAGTCATGGTAAGAGGCATCATTAACGCATCCTTCTTTCCTCTGCTTCAGCCGTCATCGCTCTGCACGGTCTTGGAAGAGCTGATGATGAGTCGTTCTCCACACAGTCTTGCTTTTCTAAAACTTGAAGGAGTTTTATTTACTTGTTTTGGCACTCGTAAACAGGGTTCTTAGTGAATACTGTCGATTATGTTCTGGTGCTTGTAACGATTTGTAACAATGGGATTCTTCAGAGTGAAGAGACCAGGAGCACCGGGTCACTGTCACACTCTCCAAGGTTTCTGTAAGGACACTTGGCTTGAGGGGGTTTACTGCAAATGAAGAGAAAACACAAAGTAAAATCACTACTTAAATTTCCACTGCATTAAACAGATCAAGTTTTTAATTGTTAAAAAAAAAAAAGCAAACACAAAGAAGAGGGGAAACGATCTGAATGCAGAGTTCAGTAATGAAACACTGAAACACTCGAGGTGATTTATACTTCACGAGCTGTAAGATAACGGATCTCGCTGACAAGGTGGTGAGACGGCCTTTTTCACAGACGTTTTATAACCAAAGAGAAACTGGGAGACAAGTCCAGGTAAGTCCTCCCACTGCAGCACGCGTCAAGCACAAAGCAGGTAAACAACAAAGCCACAGAACGATCGACAGAGATGATTATTTTCAGTTGGTGTACGAGTTGGAAGAGAAGAACATGTTGGACGAGGAGGATGAAGATCTGGTATTTCTCTTGTTAATTAGAGATGGTAAAAAAAAAAAAAAGACGTGACCGTAGGAGGTACGTTCGTACGTCCTCTCGGGGCAGGGCGAGGTCAGTCCGTTGGTCCAACAGATGTGGGACCGAGGCACTTTTCCTATTTTAGGATGATCGCCGCTCATTTTGATGATTTCGGTCATCGGATCACCCCATTCATAAAACACGCACGTATTCACATCATGCCAGTCTCTGTCCAGGAGAGATTAGCAGTAACACTGCAGGTGTGGTCATGTACAGCGGTGAAACGAGACTCCTCCCACCAGGACCTCCACAAATCAGTCATGAAGTCAACGCAACGGTTTCTTACACACAGACTCATCTGTGCACAATGATTGTGCCATCTCTTTCCAGGAGTTCTTTGTCATTTGACCATCTTTATCATTTTTTCCCCCTGCTTGCTCTCGACGGGGACGGACGCTTTTCCCTCCTGCTCCTGCCTCCCTCCTGCTTTGCTCTTTGTCTTGTGATTCCTATCGGAGCCTCTCACTACATATCCTCCGAATTGTAAATTATGGATCTGGTCAGCTGGTCTCTCAACGCGATTGATAAAATTTTCTCCTGGCTGTTTATATGAATGAGAAGCTCTCCCGAGTATCTGTGGATCTGTCAGAGTTGAGTCGGCTGATAGACACTGTGCCATCTTATCTGGACTATGGAACTGTCTGTCAGTGTCCACGAACAACTCACTGCCCTCGTCGGCCTACTCATGCATAAATGTATTGACATCATCAGTATGTTGCCGTTTCATGTGCTGAGGTCATTTTTTTGCAGCTTTCACACAGTGTCCCACCTAGGACACTGTGCAAGTTTTTTTTTTGTTTGTTTTTTTACACCTCCACTCCCCGTCATGTTTCTCGTTCCTTATCTGGGAAAAAAAAGGCTGTGCCTCTCGAGGCCGGTAGCTTCAGTCACCTTCGTCCCCCCATGTCTGTTTGTTTCTCTCGGGTGGGCTGTATTGAAATGTAATTTTGTTGCCCTTCGGTGCAATGACAATAAAGCTGATTCTGATCAGTTTTGCTAGAACAATTGTAAAGATGACTATTTCCTGGCAGTCTCAGTGAGCGGCTCCTCAAAGCTATCCGTCTTGCTAACACAAGAGCAGCTTCAGGAAGTAGAACTGTTGAAGCAAAATGACAACATTCTGCAAAAACAAACATGCCTATGAAGTTCTGACCTATCACACAGTACTTGGTACATACCCTGAGAGAAAATAGCACTGTCAGATGGTTGTGCATAGAATGAGCTCTCAGGGGATGGTGGAAAAACAAAAAGACGCCATTGTTATCAAGCAACTACCGGGGTAAGTCAGCAAGAAACAATATTGGCACTTCTGATGAAGTATAAATTTACCTCACCGCTACAAAATATTTGTAAAGCTGCATTAAGCTTACAAGATCCTCGCTGGTTTCAGATTGTTCAGATGTTTTGGGGTTTTTTTTTTTTCGCAAGTGTGAGTTTTTCCACTCCTAGTCGATCTAAAAAGCTAAATTTAAACTCTGACACTTATGAACCAGATGAGATACAGATTTAATTGATCAAATCCATCTGTAATTTAGGAATTCATCTGCAACAAAACAGACTTTTATTGCTCTTCAGTTACCTGTTTAAATAAAGGTTGAACGAATTTAAGAACTCAGTTAAGTTAAAAAGAAAAAACTTCTCTTAAAAGAGTTCATACAAAAAGTCAGAGTTGATTTCCAATCTAGCCATGAATTTTCCTCACACCAGGTTGATTTGGATAATCTAAACCTGATTTTAGTTAAGTGATCAAGCATGGATTCATAAGTAATCAAAACGTTAATCAATAGTCATGTGCATTTTATGCAATTTTCTATTCAAACTGTATTAGTTCACAGAAATACAAATAATTATATTTGAGATATTTGTTTGTACTTAGGCTGCTTCATGCTTTATGTTTTCATCTTAGAACAGACAAAAGAAATGTTCCATAATTGCAGATAGTGACCTACAACCCACAAAAGAAAGACAAAGTTCAACTTAATCAAGCAATTATTGTGACTATATTGTGTATTCTGTAATAATAAAAAAGCAAAAATAAATGTATGCAAACCCTAAATTAAACAAATGCCAATCTTGTCAAAAAGCTTCTCTCGTGTTGTGTTTCAGACTTAATTGCGCAGTGGATCGTCTGACTCACATGGTGGTTGGAAGAGGCTCCCTTGCCCTTTGTTTTGCCCTTGCCTCCCACTGCTGTGGTGCTGTTGCGTCGCGCCTGCTCGTGGTCGAACTCCAAATCCTCGAGGCGCTGAGTTAAAGCCAGTTTCTGCTGAATTGCCATGCGCAGCAGTGAATTCAGCGTCTTCTTCTCATCCTCAGCAGCAGCCAGCTGCCTCTGCATGTCGTCCAGCTGGGTCACGTACTCATCGCATCTA